ACACGATAGAGATGTTTTTCTTTGAAGTTTGCTCTTCTGCACGGGACTACAGTACTTACCGTTCTGTATTAGTCTTCTATACTGTTTAATAAGTTAACTATTCGTATCTAAAATACAACACGCTCAAAAAACATATCTTTAAAGTAAAGAACTCTCTGTGTCGACTGTACGTGTATCTAATTATAAACTGAAATATTAAGACCCCTAAAATAAATTGGGATCAATCTCCATCTACAGCAAGGTTAGACCGTCCTCCATATCATTTAAGACTGACTTAAATTCACTTACGTCTACCCGTTGTTGACTTCAAAACTAATCTGACTGAAACTTACGTTGTCCGTGGAAATATATATATACTGCGGATGTCTACTCCCCGTCGAGGCCTCATCTAGGAATTTGGGTGCTGCACAGCTGAAAAGTGTTTTTTTTTTTTTTCCTTGATTTCTCTAAATAATATTTATTTTATCTTTGCTTAAATTATCAGGCAGATTTTATGTTGTATTTACAGTACGTTTTCTTTTGTGTTTCCTTTTTCTCTAATTTTTAATTAAAAGAAAATATGAAAGTATGTTATTTATGTATTGTTTGAGCATTTATAAGCGCCTTTTTATTTGTCCTGATAGGGAAAAATATAAAAATTAAACAAAATAACAAGAAACATTAAGTAGAAATGAAGCACATGTAGTGCCAACTTTGAAAGCATGTTGTAAAAATTCTAGACATAGAATCTCAAATCGCCACATACAATCGGTAGTTTAAGGTAGTTCTATACTCGGCACTAAATGGGCTCAATCTTAAAAAATCTGCTTTTAAAAGATAGACATACATCTCAGCAATGGATAGATACAAGAAAAATGATATGTCAACATGTTTACTTCTCCGCTATTGCTATCGGAATATATACCCCGAAATGTAAAATACTGGAAATTTACCTATCCTAGATTTTATTGTATTTAAATGGATTCAGATCTAAATATTCAACTTTAATTCCCTAAAGAGAGTAGAAATATGTTAGTCAACAATATATAATCATTGTTTGAATGAATTATTATAAATAGATGCACTTTGTTAGGCTAACGTATTAAAATTTAATATGAGATAATATGCTTCACAGGTCAATCTCGGTCATTTAAAAAAAAAATTATGGACTCAAACTTCGTGAAATTGTATTATTTTTACTAAATAATATTTAAGAAAAAGATTAAGCTTAAACAAATTATATGTTGACGCATTACTTTTCGTGGTATGAGCTCTACACTAAAGGTACCCCCCTAATTTTCTTATTCTAGAAGTAATGTATTTTCCTGTAATATTGTTAATGTTTGAGTGTATATTTGTATAAACAAAGTTGTACATATTTAAAACAATAATTATGCACACCCAATACCTACTGTCACTAACATTTATCTTATTTTACTCTTTTTAAAAAAAAATTAAAACACACTTGTCTGTAAATTGGAGACAATGAAAATGGATGTGATTGACTGGTTCTCACATACTGGATAATTTTGTTACAGAAAGTAAGTATGCTGTAAGTGAATCAAATTTTGTCGTATACTTATATTCAAACGATAATTTTGCATTAATTCGTGGGTAAGCAGGTTGCCGGGGGGGGGGTGCGTCTTATACAATATTATGATTCAAAGTAAATTTTGTAATGTTTGATTAGTAAACCTTATAAATTGTCTAAGTCAAATCGTAGTCATTACTTTTCTTCCGAATCATCACTAATAGCTTCAACTTGGCCGCCGACAATAGTCGCGAGAGTGTGATACAAATCATACCGGGGGGGTACATGTTCTGATCAGTGTAGCAAGTTCGTGGTCCGTGTTATCGGCACGGCATATAGAACATGCATCACTCACAGAAATATCGTTTTATTACCTTATTTTTTCTGTCAACCCAAAGTTGTTCCCAGCCTTCTCTTTTTAATTAATTTATCCGTAAAACTGTAGTAGAATCAGTGTTTGTACGTTTGTTGACGCGAGCGACTTGGAGCAAAATCGTTACCGGATATTTAAGACGCTAAGTAAAAGTCAAACCAATATAGTTAAAAAATCACATCTCGGAAAAAAGAAGCGCGGTTCCGGTTCTACTATTCGTAAATGACGTAGCGCGAGTGTAGACCTACTTTAATGTTTGATCTTTTAATTAATTGTACTCTGGTGCTTGCACTTTTTGATTAAAGGTAGGCACGAGGCGTTTGAAAATTACCTGTGTTATCCTCTGAAATCAGATGATAAACTATCCGACATTGCATTGCAATTTCCATATATGGTAAAAAATTTGGTTGCCATACTGAATCTACCTATCCTCCAAAAACGGAGGCCGCCCAGACCTGTATAGAGTAATATTAGCAACTTTTTCTTAAATTGAGGGGATCTCATTGTTTTAAAAAAACATGTAATTATGTGTTTAACAACTTAAAATCCACTGATTATAATCAGAATATAAATTAGTTGAAATTACTACTTAATAAAAAAAAATCATTGCAATGTACATATATAAAAAATACATTATTTATTAGAAAAAAATTATGGAAACTGAATGACAGAAAAACATGTACACAGGTAAAGACAACTAAAACAGGTCCAGTCCAAAGACTATTTCTACCTATGTAGCTATTAATAGCTACGTAGGTATTTAAACCTACCCAAAGTAGCTAGCTATTATTACCTACTTTTTGTTTTATCTACATTTTGTGGCCAAATGACTGAATGGCGCAACATGGTGAATACCATATTTATGTTCCCCAAACGAAGTTGGGGAACATATTGTTTTTACTCTGTTTCTTATTATTATTATTATTATTTTTCTTCTTCCTGGGAAAATCTTTTCCGCGAATGATCTTGTAAACTACACGTCCAACTTAGGTGAAACCTTTTTAGGGTCAGTAGGCATGTTATGTAGATTTGCGGAACGAAGGTCATTTTGCGCGCACGTGCATGCAAGAGCGCGCACGTGCAACGCGTGAAATAACCAAAATAATACATACAGCCGTAACTTTTCTATTTTTTGATTATATGCTTTGGTACTCATAATATAAGTATATATTAGTAGTATGGACGTGTTGACATGGTCAAAATAGCAAGATCTCACGCGCATGCACGTGCGCTTCGCTCTGATTGGCTGAAACTAAAATCTCAATATCTTTCTTGTTTTTCGTCATAATCCTTTGAAATTTTGAACTTAGTCACACAATATGAAGATCTACAGCACGATATATAATGATTTTCATGAAAGCGCGTACATGCGCGTGTGCTGGCAAGAGCGCACACGTGCAACATGTGAAATTACCAAGATAATGGATGAAGCCGTAACTTTTCTCTTTCTGGATGGAATTTTTTGAAACTCACAATGCATGAATATAGTAGTAATATTGGCAAGATGACATGGTCAAAAATTGCAAGATCTTACGCGCATGCACGTGCGCTTTGCTCTGATTGGCTGAAACTAAAGTCTCAATATCTTTCTTGTTTTACGTCACAATCCTTTGAAATTTTGAATTTGGTCACATATTATGAAGATCTACCGCATGATATATAATAATTATCATGAAAGCACATAAATCCACGTGTGCCGCAATCTGATTGGCTAAAACTTTACATGCCTATATCTTTGTTGTTTCTCAACAAAACAGGATGAAGTTTAGAATATAAATAGGTATTATGGATTCCTACATGATATTGCTATCAAAATTGAATGCAAGGACGTGCTTGCATGCACATGCGCACACGCAATGCGTAAAATGAACAATATGTTTGAAAAACGGTAAAATTTATATTTTTATGACTTTTTATTGATTTCTGGAATATAAAGATATGTTAATGGTTTAGACAACATGTCATGATCACCTTGCATGTGCTTGCACGTGTGTTTGCGAACAATGTGTTAAATGACAAAAAAGTGATATCATTGTAGCTTTTAAAATTCTTTTATGAAATCCTGCGATACTAAGCATATTGAAAAAAGTTTTAACGGAAATTTGCACAAAAGGGGAGTTGGGGAGCGTTTGGGGAACATCTGTAACGGTCCCCGTTACAATTAGAACTAGTTTTTGATACAGTCACTGTAATGATGAATACGACAAAATTTTGACCAAAAATTGACTATTTCCTGAATCAGAAATTTTACATTAGTTTCTATGCAAAATTGATAATATATGACCATTTTTTGGCCAAATTTTTGTCATATATATCCATCATCAGTGTGACTGTATCAAGAAATTCAGTGCTCACCATGTTGCGCCGTTCCTGCGTTTGGCCACAAAATGTAAGTAAAGCAGAAAGCAGGTAAAAATAGCTACTTTGGGTAGGTTTAAATACCTACGTAGCTTTTATTTTTTATAGCTACGTAGGTAGAAATAGTCTTTGGACTGGACCTGTAAAACAAAGCAAAAACAATCCAGACATATATAGTTCTTAAGCAAATTATTATGCAGTTTTTTTTTAAAAGATGAGATGTACATAAAAAAATCAAACATACATGTAACCTCCTTATTAATTAAAGGCAAGACGAAATATTCAGAAGAGGAATAAATAAGAAATTACAATTCAATTATTTAGTAAAATGATCTATCCGTGTTAGCTTATTATTTCTTAATAACGGTATGATCGGTATGATCGATGATTTATCCTCCATCTTTCTGCTTTGATTCAAAGTGTATTAATAAAACAACAAAATCAATATAGTCTGTTGTCTACATACATACAGCCATTTTAGAAAGAGGTACTTTTCGATGCTCCTCATTTTGCAGCACGTGAATTTTTCCCGCAATTTTAGAGTTACCGTCCTTGGGTTCTCCAAATTATCCACCAATCAAAAGGAAGCTATACATTCCATGCGGCTCTGCAGTTGGCGTGGTTACATGTCAACAAGCGTGATTCAAACCCAGTAGAGCGGAGCGATTTGACTTGTTTATTCAGGTAAAGCTCGATCTTCTTTCATCTAAACTGATTGTACTTATTGTTCGGTAAGTTTGATAAGCTATCTTATAGTATCAATTGTTATTTGTTGTCGAGGCCGACTGCTTGTCCTGTTTTGTTGTGTCTAACCTCTCGGCTACGGAATTCATAATTTTATCATCCAATATATTGTTTGTCATCTGTGTACAAATAAGAGAAAATGGCTTCAGGTAAAAAGTGAAATTGTGTTTTGATGAATGGTTACCTTTGTTTTAGATTCTTAAAAAATTCAAATATATGTAAGCTAGGTCATCGATCTTCATATTAGGCCTATTTTTTTCCCACTATATCGTGTGTATTGAAACTGAAAGATATATATTTTAAAAAAAAAAACCAAAGATTCTTAGAAGCTACTTTTGTTAGTGTTATATTATTGCTATTATTTGTTACCACACTTATTTAACTTTTAAATTAAAATTTTGCCATAAATTTGTGTATGATGATATGTAAACAAAGTCTTGCTTTCCATTTGGTGTTTGCTAAAATAAAAAAATTATATTCTTACGTAAGAAATGCTTCATTTGAAAATATGAACATTGCTACTTAAATTTTAATTGAGTAAGTTAAATCATCTGAAGTTCATTGCTTCATCCACGATCCACTATCCAAAATTAGTATACTGTGCACATATATAAATTATTTAGCGTATAAGATATTGGATGTGGCCTGGTAAATTGTTGCAGGACTTGTTATGGCTCATTATGGTCAGAGACCTCTATAAATGGTGTTTCCATGGTAAATAATTAAGGTAAACTATATACAGGGACTTGAAGCAATTTACAGACATTGATCACAAGTCCATATGAATGTGATATGAACATCTCAATTTCCTCCCTTGGACCATCATTTGATGCTCTTAAACCCGAGAGGTTAAAACATAATCAAACTCCATAATTGTTTTTTTTTTTAATTAAAGAAGCACAGGAACTTGCTCCCAGCATGTAATAATTATTTATTAAAAAATCATATACCGTAATAATAAAACTGCACAGTTTTATTATTACGGTATATGATTTTTTTAATAAATAATTATTACACGCCGGGAGCAAGTCCCTGTGAACGAAGTGAAATATTACAGTCTGTCTTTAGTGAGGCACTAAAGGTGTCATGGAAATTGTCAAAACTTAACAGCTAGGGTTACTCAATTACTTTGGCTTGTAAGTTTATCCTTGGTGAATAATAACTTTAGAAGGATACTGTTAACTGATAGGTATATGTATTCATTTTATTTTTTTGTCCTTTTACATACATGTATCATGAACATGTACATGTAGGTAGAAGAACAGAAGATTAATTCGGTTCTAGTGATTTATATATTTTTCTTATAATTTAATCCTGGTTGTAATGCTGTATATTTAATTGGATAAAAAATGTACTTTATGTTGTATAAAATGGGTTGCCTACGTCACAATGACTTGTGTCAAAAACGTATTAATCCGCCTGATGTTACATTCAAATTTTGTACAAATTGAAGCCATTTTGTTAGGTTCAATCATCTTTTTTTTTCTTACATCAAATGAAAGAAAATTAAATTATAAATTCGCAGTTTATAAAGCGTAAACTGCCCCAACCTAATTTATACCGTATAAAATGGGTAGCTATTAAATTCATTTCTTAAATGGACATTTTCTTAATGTATAGATTTTTTTTTTTCAAGGTGTGTCAGTCTGTACTAGGATAATAAAAATGTCAGCTCAGCCCACAAAGATGGTGCGTGCCAAAGAGTGGAGTGATGACGTAGAGGAGGCGTACAGATTCCAGTTGGCGGGATACAGGGACGCCCAGGACTACACTGTGTGTACAAAAGAAGAGGTAGGGAACAACTCTACTGCAAGTCAAGAACAAACAATGCAAGGTTTAAAAAGGGAGCAAAAATGGAATATCTGTATGTAAATGAGACGATATCCCTATGGTAGAGGCTTAAGGGGGGACCTATGTCGTTCTACGTCAAAGCAGCGTTATGTGACGTCACAATAGCGACGTTTGTTTTTACCTGTTGACTTTTACAAGTATGATATAGGCAATACATTGTTAATAATCAATAACGTACGCAATTTACTAAAAAGAAAAATTATTCATCATTAATAACAGTTTTATTTGATTTATGGAGTTTGTTAATATTAGAATTCTCTTCCTTTGGTTGATAATTCATAACAATTTCATTGTGAAATACCTCGATGATATGCAGATATATACCCGGTAAGTGCAAAAAGATTAGATAAAATTCAGCAAAGAAAGCGGCTAAAATCAAGAAAATGTGTTTATGTTAACCATTAATTGTATTTCTGGACAACACTAAGAAAAAATTAAGAAATGTACTTGTACCTATATTTGCTTATTGATTTATATTACATGTAGATTTTATTGTATAAAGTTCTAATAGGTGTTGGTTGTTGACGGGGAAATGGAGGGGGGGGGGGGGAGAAACAAACTGAATGATTGGAATGAAGAAGAAAAGAATCATACTTGTTTAAATTGTTTCTAATCAATACAAAATACTCATTTTTCGCAAAAGAGTTTTATATTCAGATGTTTCACAGTGCTTACTTACCTTTTTTTAGTGCAGAAAGGTCAATATTTATGACACAAGAGTACGAAAATAAATGAAAACGTCATATTTCTCGTTTATTTTATCATAAAGGTATAGTTTTTTCTTTGTTAAAATAAAGGGATGAATCATTTCTTTCAAAAAATATGAATTACAACATTTTCACACAAAGACTTTTGAAGATATTACCTGTTATGCATGTCGGAATTATAAAAAATACGACAAGAAAAACGGGGTGATATTTACATTGCGCTCCATTATAATTTTTCATGCGATATGAATTACAATGAATTTGCCTTCACTTTAAAGATACAAGTCATATAAATTAAGTACCAGTTGATTTTGAATGTGATATGACATTTTTGGTTCTTTTTAGCGCATATTTGGGGTAGAACAATAATGTCTGAAAATAATCTATTTTTAGCATTTCACACTGTTTTTGCACGTGCTCCTGTGTAAAAATAAGCATATAAAGGTATTGTTTTTAATACATAAAAATTAAGAGCAAGTGGTCAGGAAAGAAATGTCAAAGTTTTGAAAATTTCACACAAAGACTTTTCGGACATAGGTCCCCCCTTAAAAAGGGGGAAGGGGGCAATAATTTATAATTAATGATAGGGCTACATTTAAACCTTAAATACCAAGTTAAGGAAGAGGCTATACATTTTATATGAATGTACATGTATTTAAAAGTAGAAATGGGAAATACTCTCACCAAAAAGGATGATTTGTAGTTAATTATAAGGTGGTGTTAATTTATTAAATTAAAAAGAAACAGATGTCAAGAAACAAAAAAATGTATTATGTCCTTGAATTTCAGTAGAATATATCTTTTAGAAGGTCATTTTCTATTTTTGTTATTGCCTTTTTTTCTTCTAATGTAGAAGATTTATAAATAAAGGTAAAATCACTCATAATACATGTAACTATCGTATAAGCAGACTTTTTACCGAGGATTTAAATTAATTTTGGTGTTTTAAGTGAGGGTGCTGAGATCACTAAAATTGAATATCGCTAAAAATTAATTGCGTTTTAATTGTAATTGCTAATTTAGTGAGCATTTTAGTCTTATTTGCTGAGTAACTTCTAAAGTAATAAATTTATAATGCTTGAAATTTTCTCTTACAGGCTACAAGATGGCCACATAATGGATATATAAAGAAGTTAATTCGTAAAGACGGATGCTGGTATTATTTCAACAAAAATAGAGAATGTCCCGACAAAGATGTACCCAAGTGCAAATTATACTCTTATTAATTAATGACTGGTCTCTCTAGCTAGGTATTACACAATAATTATAATTTGTAAATACAAGACAAGTCTGCATGTAAAATCTTGCAATTTTTTAGCTTGAAGTTTTAGAATTATGTGTGAGAGTGTTTGGATAATTTATTTTAATAAATCTCAGATTGCAACAAAGTTCATGATGTGGGCATCATAATTTTACATACATATTGTATCTATTTATATTGTTTTCATGTATCATTTATCTATTTCATAATTTTTTTTTCTAAAGTTGAAATTGTAAAGGACCAGTATTTTGCCTTGATTGGCAAACACAGAATAAAAGTCACAATTTTGTGATTTTACCAAGCACTATTGTGAACACTTATTTATAGATTTTGTGGACACACTTTCTTAAGTTGTTGTAAATATTGTTTATTTATTCATCCCCCATAAGACATTCTTGGTGAGAAATAAGTTGAGAGAAATATCATGTATGCAGTTGAGTGAAGATAAACTATAGAAAGTGCTCAAATTATTGAATACAGCTAGCAAAAAATCAGTTGAATTAATGTATATTATAAGAATACATTGAATATTATTGTTACCATTTATAAATCATTACATCATTAATTAAATTCATGCAAAGCATGACACAACCAGAAATGTTTTATTTTTCCTTTAATCCAGAGGGAAAACATTCAGGTTCATACTGGAAAGCTATACTATATACCACAGATGCTTATGAAAAACGGCTACAACCGGGCCTTCTATTCTCCTTTCATAACTGGGCCACCAGATTTTAGCTCATTTAAGCTGAAAGCTCAAGTGAGCTTTTCTGATCACCCATTGTCCGTCATCCTTCCATCAGTAAACTTTTTACATTTTCAACTTTTCAAAAACCACTGGGCCAATTTTGACAAAACGTGGTACAAAACGTCAGTGGGTGAAGGGGAGTTTAAATTGTTAAAAAAAAGGGCCAAGTCCCCTTCAAAGGGGAGATAATCAAGAAAATACAAAAATAGGATGAGGTCATTAAAAATCTTCTTAAGAATTACCACGGGGCCAGAGAAGCTGAAACTCATGTGGAAGCATCCTGGGGTAGTGAAGATACTAAATTGTTCAAATCATGACCACTGGGGGTAGGGCGGGGCCACAACAGGGAATCCAAGTTTTACATTGAAGTATGTAGGAAAAATCTTCTCAAGAACCACTGGGCCAGAAAAGCTGACACTTATGTTGAAACGTCTTGGGGTAGTGTAGATTCTAAATTGCTCGAATCATGACCCTGGGGGATTGGGCATGGTCAAGATAGGTATTACAAGGGGGAAATCTGTTAAATTACAGAATGAACAAAATTACTTAGGTGAGCGATGTGGCTCATGGGCCTCTTGTTATGGAATACAGCCTTTTGCTGTAGTTTAATATAAAAATGTAAAGAACTAGGTACGTTATGTATAACAAGTCGGCCCTGACTAAATGTGATTAAAGTTTTTTACAATCATATGCCTACGATGACCTTTCAAAATCATTTTATTTTCTAACATAATCTCAAACCGTTTTTCCGTCAGAGGTCTCGAAAAATGGTGTGTTTTCTTTAAAAATTGCAACGTGAAGCTCAGGTTTCCTCCTCAACCAATAAATTTTTGTAATATCGAACACTTAAGGAATAACAGCATTTGACAAAAACTATACAGAAAAATAAAAGTAAATTTACTTTTATTTTTCTGTATAGTTTTTGTCAAATGCTGTTATTCCTTAAGTGTTCGATATTACAAAAATTTATTGGTTAAATTCAAATCCCCCATCCAAGAGAAATAGGATTTTTTGATTTTGGACTGTTGTACAACAATGTAAAAATCTACTTCAAAATTTAAGTTACCGTTTAAGGCAAGTCTAATCAACGCAGTACAAGAATTCTTAGTTGAATAGTTATGTTGCTCTAAATAAAATAGAGGCAGAGAGATTTACATGTATTCAATGTACTAAGTTTTGGAACTCACGACCTTCTTGATAAAATATAGCCACAGATATCTGACATTGCATAACCTATCACTGGTTAGTATTTTGACTGTGTTGTTTCATACTAATTGTTAGACCTTTGTTTTTAAACTGAATGATTACGGAATGTTACGTCTTAATTGATTGATTTGTGACATAATTCTGACTAATCAGCTGGGGATGCTTACCCCTCCAAGCCACCTGATCCCACCTCTGAGATTTCCAGGGATCTGTTTTTTATGCCTTCTTCACATGTTTGTAATGATTTTTTAACAGATCGATCACTGTTTGTCATCTTCACTTTTTTCATACAGAGGATTTTTTTTATGATAAGCCAATTTAATGAAATAATAACAAAGAAGATTTTTTTAACCGAATACTGATGATCAGTACTTCAAGTTTAATTGGTTTTTATATCGTATTAAATAACAATGCACATTTAATTGTTTTGCAAAACAAGAATTTCATTTTCGATCTGAAAACAAGTCTAATACAGTAAGCAATACATATTAAACTATACATGTACACATGCATGCCACCTTCGCTAGCCAAGGTGTCCCAGGTAGCACAAAACATTTTCAAAACATTTTATTGGTGTTGTAAAAAAGTTTTTTCGAAACATTTCAGACTAAACATTTTAAAAACATTTTTAAAACATTTCCTCTTCTCTTTATAACATTTTAAAAACATTTTTTAAATGTTTTCAAGAAGCTTATGATTAAATCCTTTTGGAACATTTTTCTAAAATATTTTTGAAACGTTTTAAAAATGTTTCAAAAGGTGTGTTTAGCTTTCAAATATCAAAGATTTTTATATTACGTTTTAAAAACGTTCTAAAAACATGAAATGAAACATTCCCTTTTCATACATCTGAAACATTGCATGGATACGTTTCTGGAACATTTGGAAGGAACGTTGTCAAAATGTTCTTGAAACATTTTTAATTCATTTAAGGAACATTTTTCTTAAAAATATTATAAGGGTATGTATAGCTTCCAAATATTAAAGATCTTATGAAACGTTTTAAAAACGTTCTTAAAACATGAAACGAAACATTCTTTTTCTGTAAAACGGAAACAATTTGCCTATACTTTTCTGAAAAAATTGTAAGGAACATTTTAAAAACATTTTAAAAACATTCTTAATATCGCTGTTAGTTATAAACATTAAATTCCGGATATTTTTCGGCCTAGGCAGTGAAAATGTTTATTTAAAACATTAACTAAATAATTATTTTCACTACAATTGAAACATTTTATTGACAGTTTTTGTAACATTTTTTGGAAACAATTCAAAATGTTTCTGAAACATTTATGTAATTGCGGCACAATTTAATTCATTTATTACTTAAGAGTATGTTGTGAGAATAATAATTATTAAAATTAATTAAAATTATTTTAGAACATTCAATTTAATGTGTTTTCCTTTTTTAAAGACTTCATTTTTCATTGCTGCAACATTTTTTAATGTTATTTTCAAAATGTTCTTAAAACATTCAAATAGTGTATGATTGCGATTTTCCTAAAATTTAGTTTATGAAGAAAAAAAGAATATATAGAAAGAATAGTGTTGAAATGAGGAATTAAGTAGTAATTTTTAAATTGAAAGATTTTTTTCCGGTATTTTATAATGATTTCTAGTTTTGGCTTATTGATTAAACAGACATATATAAAGTCCTTTAATTAAAACAAATAAAAAAAAAAACAATAAATGAAAGAATAGGCAAACACAAAATTCAAAATATTAATAAATGTAAAAAATCATAAGCATTTGATAAAACTCTTGTTTTTTTTTTTAAATGTTCTTCATCAAATCTGTGATCCACTCCCAGGATTTTACTCTGAGGCATTAGATAGGGATTGGCACACTGGTCAGTTTCAGTGTCATGATAACCTATTATGCAATTTTCCTGCTGGGCAGCACGTTACAGAGTATAGTGGTTTGCAGCTTATCTAGGCCAAATTTTGAATTCTGGTAAACAAGATGTGCGCGCTTACTCCGTGCCGATTTGAATGAGAAGACTTTGCACCATAAAACCACAGTAATAACCTCGGGATTTATTAACTTTGAATGGTAAGAATTATTCCTTTATCAAAGACTTTAAAAGATCATTTAAAAATGACTTTTATACTACCAGTGCATGACCAATAACTTTGTACAAATGTATGTAGCATTAAGAAATGACAAAGCGAAATGACAAAGCGTTAAGGTTATACACATGCATGTATTTGATTTGAATATTTCATTCTTAAGTCAACACAATTATATCCTTGATTCAAGTATTCGTTGTCTTTGTGAAATGTTTTAAAATCATCAAACAATATGTTGATTTAAAAATGAAATTTCTTTACAGCATGGTGTTGATTGCATCATCCGTATTTTCAAATTCCCACATTCAAAAGACCCGCCTTTGGTGAAGGCAAAGGTGTACGTAAATCTATTACTCTTCATTAATATTGTCATAGTAATTATTTTTCTGCTTTTTTCAATGCAAATGAGGAAATAACTTAAATTTGATATAATTATTTAAAATAGTTTTTGTATATTTTCAATAATCATCTTAAGATACATTAGATGTAGAACCCTAATACAAACACAATTTTCCTTATCTTAACAGGTTGTGCTATTCTTTCCGAGGGGCGGATTCCTTATCAGCCTTTTCAGTGTATGTGATTTTAAGTCTTATAGATCCGCCGCTCTGTTCGACCTATACTGTGAACATAGGATTTCTGTGATTCTGTTCTTCATGTTCTTTTAAAATTCAGTGAATGGATTAGACGCCGTTTTCACCCTTTTAAAAAAAACCGGTGACTTGAAAGAAAATAAATTAAAACTTTTACCGAGAATGGAATTTAAATGTGATTAACATATTGAATATGGGTTTGTATTAAAGGTTCAAAAATTAAATACAATTTGTGTTTATTTCTTTTAAAATATAAATATATCATTTTTAAACGAGAAAAGTAAAATTTCAGTAAAAATACTTTTGTAACCTTGACGTGAATGTTTTGAAAACGTTTTAAAAACCAAACAAATTAAACGTGAAAAAAAACATTTTTGAAAATGTTTTTGTTACATTTTATAACAATGTTATGATAACATTTGTTGAAATATTTTGTAAAATGTTTTAAAAACATTTAAAAAAACCATACAAAATCACGTGATTACAACATTGTTCAAAAATGTTTTCGTAACATTTTAAGAAAATGTTCCAAAAACATTTGCTGAAATATTTCACTAAAATGTTTTAAAAACGTTTAAAAAACCATACAAATTCACATGATTAAAACATTATTGAAAATGTTTTCGTAACATTTTAAGAAAATGTTCTGACAACATTTTGCTGAAATATTTCACTAAAATGTTTTAAAAACGTTTAAAAAACCATACAAAATCACGTGATTAAAACATTTTTAAAAATGTTTTCGCAACATTTTGAAAATGTTTTAAAAACATTTTTAAAATGTTTTTGTGCTAGCTGGGGTTTTCGGTCCGCACCGCTCCCAATAGGGAGATGGTACACATACAGGCACAGAGTTTCGGGAATCGAGGGAGCTCAAGGAGTGTGTTCCGACCTTTTAATTTTGTATTAAAATGTACATGAAGGGCTCCCCCAGATTTTTGTTAGCAAAATCCTTCTCTTGACATCTTTCCTTAAATAAGAGGCCCACAAACTGCCCAAAGACTTTTTTACCTTTTTTTGTCGGGGTAGGGTGAGGTTCAACAAGATAACTTTTGAATACATATAAACTCAGCATATTTTGGCAAAATTAATGAAAAGATGCATGCAACCTTCACTTCCCTCTACATGGTTTCCTTGGGTTCTCTTTACAAATATATCTCTCTATATTCAACATATACCAGAAAGCCAGTTGGATTTATTACGAAAGACAAATTGCATAAGGACCTCTCACATCAACCGGGAAGTTCTTCGATGAAGGCATTGAGGAAAAGCTCAGTCAAAACAAAATGTGTGCAAGAAACACTGATCCCGTATGACACTATAAATTGCCAGTTCAGGCTTCTCAGATGCAAGTCAAACTTTAACTTTTAAAGTTCAAGAGGTCAAAATTCTCGTATCCAAAGAAGGGTCAAGTCACTATGATTACTTATAAAAGCCCTAACAGCAGTAGTACCAAAGCAAAGCTAACTTTAGTGTTCAAAGACAGGTCTTTTCACAAGAGATATACATAGTCAATTCAATTGAAAGTTCCTGCTATGGTTATAAGTAAAGTTTGTAAAAAAAAATATTAAAAAAAATAGGTAAAACCCTTATAAAAGAAAAAAAAATATTCAAGAGAACGTTTTATCACACGTAATAAACGTTAAATAAAAACTTACACCAATCATTCAAGGTTCAAGTTTCCTGAAAGTTTATCAAACTCTAGGGTCAAAATTAAATGTTACGAATGTTGGTATCCCAAGGAAGGACTTGTAACATTAGTAATAAACATATGAAATATAAAAGCCATAGCAACAGATGTACAAATATATGGCGAAATTTAAGTTTTTAAGAGTAGGTAATATACTCCAGGGTCAAATAGTCACAAATATATGTGAAAGCTCTAGCAATTACCTTTTAAAAATTTTTGCAGAGGTTAAAGTTCTTATTAAAAAGTCAAAATCCAAAGTGCAGGGACGTAGCCACAGGGGGGTCGGGGGGGGGGGCTGCCCCCCCCACTTTTTCCCCCAACAATACCTTTACTATAGTAATTGTACATTGAAAGGATGGTTGCCCCCCCCCCCCCCCCCCACTTTTTACCATAGTAACCAAAGTATAGTGATATCAAGGAAATGTAGGGGGAAAATGGAATTGAAAGTAACTTGGCTTTGAAAAAAGTTGGCCACTAGGAATGCACATGTGAAATATAAAAGCCCTATTAATTAGAATTTTCCCTCATCATTATTATTAGTTTTTCGCAGACAAAAAGACGACAAGACAAAACATATTCACCCCCAATCTTTATTTGAGGGGGCACAAAAATTATATCGTACTTGAGTAAAATATTTCACCAAGGACTTTTTTTAGAATCACAAATTCAAACAAGAGTTGAATTAATATAATTAAAAAACAACAACATAAAATTGAATTTCAGTCAAGTTCGTTTTCCGACACATTCTACCTGAATATCAGCTAGAGGGCCATAAATGTACATATATATATCTAATATTGAAATGAAATATGATTATTAAATTAAATATACAAACATTTCATACGTTTACATACATGCATGCAATACAAAACATGTACAAGGTTCTCGTCTCTGAGTTCCATAGTCTCGCAGAATCACGTTTACTGTAGGAGGATGGTTGAGTTTGCCACAGATCACGCGTTGGAAAGTCTGCGACCAGCAATAGATAACGAATCAAAGTCAGACACAGACGTGACCCCTTTCTTTTTACTGTTAAAAAAAGAAAAGTTTTATTTAATTACAATATCATCAAAATATTTAATATTAAACTCTCAGGTTCATCACCTTCAGTGAAACTGAAAGTGCAACGTGCCAAAACTCAAAAACGAACACAGTTTCGTTATAATGTTTTCTAATACTTTTTAGCTCACCTGAGTTGAAAATTCATATAAACTTTTCCAATTTTCGACCTCTTCTCCTGATCAAAAACCACTGGACAAATTTCAACCAAACTTGATCGGCACAAAGTATCCTTGGGAGAAGGGGTTTCAAGTTTGTTCAAATGAAAGGACACGGCACTGCCCTCTTTCAAAGGGAGGTTATTTAAAAGAATTGGTAAAAAAAAAATAATAATAAATTTTGGCATCTTTTTCTCAAGAACCACATGTACAGAAAAGATGAAACTTATATAAAAGCTTTATTACATAGTGTAGATTGAAGTTCGTTAAAATCATGACCCCAGGGAAGGGTGGGGCTACAATTAGCCATTAAGTTTTACATAGGAATACATAGAAAAAATGATTAAAATCTTTCAAAAGTCTTCTCAAAAACATCAAAGCCATGGTACTTTTGTGGAAGCATCCCCAGATAGTGTAAATTTATTTTTTCCCCCTACATATTGAAAACAGCATTTCATCTTTATCTTGACTTTACTGTTCATTGCGTTTTAAAGAAACTATTTAGACAAGATTTTACGTCAAACTCTATCACCAATTCAAATTTTCATGTAACCTGGGCAAGGCATGTATATGGACATATTTCTAGTAACAGAATCAGAAACATGCGACACAACTCTGAGTGACCTGTGAGAATTGAAAATAGCATACGTAATATCTATATATACTGGAAATTTATTCTGCAGTGGGTCTCTTTGCATTCAAATTTTTATTTTGTGACATTGTGCTATGACTGTAATCAACCAAGCATAGTTTGTGGATTAATGTACGTGTTTTTTTGAGTATTGCTTTTTTTTTCAGGGACATGTTTCTACATGTATCTATAGTATTGACTGAAATTCTTTTCAACTTTTCCTTATGCTAAAATTTGTCCGAAATAACATGATGGTAACAGAATAATGTAGCCTAAAATCACAATTTAGAGGAACCACTGTTAGAGTAAAGATTTCTTCCCCAACTTTTGAAAATGGTAAGAGGTAGTATTGTTTGTGCATGCCAACTACATAAGTGAATAATGTACATATAAAAAAGATAGGGATCGATTGGCTTTGGCTAAATGAATTAAAATTTGCCCCAACTACAGTCCTAACCCAAGCAGTTTAATTACGGTTCTGGATCGTAAAGGAAAATTTCTTTGACATTATTGTACATAAATGCACATGTACATCAGAAATCCTATCCAACATAAACTCTTAAAACTTAGCTTCTTTTTCATTTCAAATTTCTATGTTATAAAGATATCTTCCAGTAATAACTAAATGAACAACTACACATATTTTTCTACATTTAATAATATTACCTACATCTCTAAGTAGACATTTATTACAAAGAGGCAACACATTCTACAGAGATAGAGAACACTAATTAACTAATGATTATAATAATTAATGAATTAAACTGTAACGTGAGACAACAATACAAAAATATTTATATCCCACTTTATATCACAAGTAGTGGACACTTTGGCACTTGCAGCTGAAACAGAAAGGCGGGGGGCTGGGTACAGTCCTAAACATAGTAACGCAATGGTCCTAACCCACATCAAGTACATGTATGAGTGATTAAGGAAAAATCCAACCCAAGAGTGTAACTGTGTTCGTGCTACATATTGGTACAAAAATTCCATGTTTGCTAGAAGCAGTGCACTTTTTTTTTATATCTTAACACCCTGCAGAGTGCAATAATTTCAACATACAAATTTTTCACGTAAATTTTTTGATATTATCATCATTTTTTTTTTTTTTTTTTTTACAGTAAACAAATCCAATTCAGTTTAAGAATATCCTAAAATTGAAAATTCTGAACAACTCCAGTAAAAATGATCCCTTCACTTCTTTATGAACTCTCCCATGAACAACATGTACATGTAGTTTTAAATTTAAAGAAAAATATATGTTCATGTACACCCAATGGAGATTCGATTCTTAACTATATATTGTAACTGTACATGTGATAAATAAAAAAATTATATTCCAAGGAAATTTTGAATGCTTTCATAAACCTTTTATAAGTAAATGAAAATCACTGGTATTTTATTACTGTAATCATGTCAAAATAAACAAGAGATGTTTTTAAAATGCTTATGCCCCCTCCCTCAAATGATTGGAATATTTTTAAGTTGAAGGGGCATAACTCTATCCAAAATGGTTTAATTATACCCAAAACAGAACTTGAACTAGATATTCTCATGATAAATCTGTATACCAAATTTCATTTCAAAAGTGCAACCTCTACAAAGAAAACGAACAGAAACTGCAATTGGAATTTTTGTAAGTCCAAGGAGCATAACTCTATCAAAAGTGGCTCAATTGTACCCCAAACAGAAGTTGACCTAGTCATTTTTATGATAAATCTGTATACCAAATTTCATTTCAATATGTGTAACCTCTGCAAAGAAAATGAATAGAAACTGCAAATAATTGAATTTTTTTAAGTCCAAGGGGCATAACTCTGTCCCAAATGGCTCAATCATATCCAAAACAATAATTAATCTAGATATTCTTATGATTATTTTGATAATTCTGTTTGCCAAATTTCATTTCAATATGAGCAACGTCTGCAAAGAAAATGAATGGAAACTGCAAATAATAGGAATTTTTCTAAGTCCAAGGGGCATAACCCTGTCCAAAATGACCAAACTGTACCCTAAATAAAACTTGATCTAGATATTCTATGATAAATTTCTTTACCAAATTTCAGTTCAATATTTGCAACCTCTGCGAAGAAAATGAATGAAAACTGATGGTGGACTGACAGACAGACAGCAGCAAAGCAATATGCCCTCCCTTCTTCGAAGGGGGCATAATAATAATATTTAACCAAACCACTTAGATCTGGTAAAAATATTTAACAAACATAAAGAAAATAGCAGACCTGCTGAATCAAAACTGGACGTTCATTTAATGAACACAATAAAAAAAGTCCACAATAAGTATAAATAATTTAACATTACATAAAATGTAAATACATGTACATTTAACTCATCGCATCTTAACATTTATTTTTTGTATTTCTTTTCCCAAAATCTTGATTCTCTAAATAGGGAATATTTTCAAGTGGCCAGTTACACAAACCGTAAGTACCAGTAAGTAAAATAATGGAAGATTAAGAAAAGCTATGAATTCACTGTGAATTTGTCAATGCATGTATATAAAACTAAATCCAGAGACATCTATAAACATACACCTTAGTGGTTATAAAGTCCTACTAATTTAAATTTGATTCTAACATGGCACACTCTGCCTGCTTTGAATTCTGTCATTGTCTTCAATATGTGTACTAATCAACAGTTTTTCAAGGTTGTACTATAATTTGGATTCAATCTGACACAGAAAACTCTTCATTATTAAAAAATACTTGTATTTCTGTCCTCCAGTTTTATGAGATTGGTTCATATTAATATTTTTTATTTGCAAGCTAGAGTTGCCATTCTTCACTGCACTTAAAAGTTAGTTGTCTGAAATCAATGTTTATACATTGTATATATGGTATCTGGAATTAAGTACTGTTTTAATAATTTATACAACAATGCAGCTTGTGAATAGTGCCATTTTTTAAAACACAATATAAAAATGATTTACACCTTATGTCAAAGTTTATGTAAATATCAAATGAATAATAAAAAGGATGATATCTTAAAATATCAAAATCTTCTATAAACAACAAGCATAAAATTAATATCTAAAAGAACAATTATACATGGTATAACCTCACATATCATAAATTACTATTGCAGATGCTCTTACACATTAAATAATGCCACATTAAACTGTTATAAAAAAATAAATATTTATCAAAACATACTTAAATTATTTCAGCAATTCAATTGCTACAGTGGACACAACTCCGTAAATTTTTTGCTACAACACTGTTACAAGAAACAAAATGTCTATCGTTGCTAGTGCAGACTTCACCCTGTGAATCATGTGATCACCCATGTGATCGTGTTTGTGTGTGAGGTCACATGACAGTCATGTGATGCTACCTGGGAGACTTGGGGAAGATGGAGGTTCCCTGGTCTAGGACTTTGTTTGTGACGGACTCTATGAGGGACATGGTGATCATACAAATGGGATAAGACTGAGGAAGTTTCTTCATCACAACCGGGACTTGAACAAAATATCTGAAAAAAAAATCAATATTCAATGCATAAAAATCACAGTTAAATACATGTACCTATTCTGCTTTATCAAATGTTATGTAACAAATTCTTTTCAAAAATTTGTCAGGTCTTAATCATTAGAAAATTTTGAAATTTTAGAAATTTAGAATATCTATCAAGTTCAAATATTTTTAATTAACAGTTATTTTTTAACAGCTCTCACATATAGAACACACAAAATTATGAAAAATAATTTACTTGAATTCCTCTAGATAGTGGCTGCGTATAAAACCAGATATCTTAGGACTGTAATGTAAAAAGGTCTGCAGTACAGAAAACTGTACATAAAGCGTGACGGCTTCCTGTGGCATCAGTGCATCCTTCCGACTCGGTCCAATGAACTTCATCATCTGGTCAATTACATTCTCCACAAAAGCCTCCTGTACACAAAATAAAGTAGATTAATTTCTTATCGTCGTACATTCACATTTTAATAAACTCAGCTAAGTGATGGTGGTTTCCTTCTATACATGAGAGTTTTCTCAAAGAATTGATTGAGACTATGTTTGAAATTCGATTTAATGCAGCACAATCAGAATCTGGTTAATATTTCGACATTACTTTTTTCTTATAAGAAAGATAGTAGCCTCCCTCATATTGTGACATTTCAATCACATATTTCATGTACTCAGTAAAAAAATGTTATTCAGAAATCAACCAAAAAAAAAGCAGAGAGAGAGAGAGAGAAAGAAAAAGAGAATTGGAAGAAGAGAGAGAGAGAGAGAGAGAGAGAGAGAGTTGGGATCATACAGTCATTCTCATCTCCTCCATGGTCTTAATGACCCAGCTGATGTTGAAGAAACTGGCCTCCCGATTTCCCCAGTTGGCTTGTCGAGCCATCAGGAAGATTTCAAAGAGTGCCAACAGGGCTGATTTACGGAACTCATCTATCTGCTTCTTAATCTACAAAAAATAAAAAAAAAATGTTCAGAGGCACAAATTAGGGCTGTATCAATATATCGATACATATCGATATTCAAGAAAAATATCGTATCGAAAAATTACTTCCAATAGGAGTTGGAAAAGCAGTTTTCTTCTAATTCTGCTAAAAAGATAGGAATTTTAAGCAGCAAAGATTATATTTCACTTTTTTGAATTAAAACTGATCAATAATTATAGATTTATAAAAGAAATAGCACAGTTTTTATAGTGATTATAAAATGCATAATAATTTTATTTTAACATGTTGATTTTACAGTCATTAAAAGCTTCGATTGGAAGTGTTTTATTTACTGACTATGGGGTAAGAACTTTGAAATGGGTAATAAAACACTAAATTTTTTATGAAATTCATGCATTAAATGATTAATAATCCTTTTTTGATGGACTTGTTTTAGAATCCAATATATCGCATATCGCTTTAAAAAATATACAGCCCTAGCACTGATAGGATGTTGTGTAGCAGGATTTTTTATTCATGATTCCAATGATTCTAAGTTTTATCCATAAATTTTGGGGGCATATTTTGACATTTTTCCTCACCTCTTCATCTGTGGCCTGTAGATTTTGTGTACTTTTAGAGGGGGCGGCCATTTTCTCAGGTACTTCTGGGTTACATATCAAAAGTCGAATGAGATCAAATATAGCTTTGCCCCTGGAATCAACAAAAAAAGATATGTTTATTTCAAGCCAGATCCATGAAATGGAATACACCAGAATTCTAACTTTGAATGATACACAAAATGGATATTGACATTTTACAGTGTAATATAATACAAAGTAACATCATGAGATTTTTTTTTCATCTAATTTACATGTAAAATCAAACTACATCAGCTGCTAGTATATAACATATTAGGTTTTGCTCCTGCCTTTAGCATAGATAACATTGAATGAAAACAGCAATTCCAGCTTTAGGAGTCTAAATTGTGCCGTTTTATAACTTTTATCACCTGTCAGTTTTAAGAGTCTAATTCTATCTATTAAGTAATTTACCTGTCTACTTTAAGAATTTATATTATACCTGGATAATTCACCAGTGTGTTTTAAGAATCTATATTGTAACTTGAATACTTACCTACTAGCTTTTAGAGCCTGATTTCTACCTGGATTACTTGTCTATCTGTTTTAAGAGTTTGAAATCTATCTGGATTACCTACCTACCTGTCTTAGGTATCTATATTTGACCTGGATTACCTACCTACCTACCTGTCTTAGGTATCTATATTTGACCTGGATTACCTACCTGTCTGCTTTAAGAGTCTGTATTCTGGCTGGAATAATTTCAGACTCCCTGAACATAAGACTTAGAATTTCTGTCAGAAGAATGACTAGCCTGAAATAAAAAATGGTTTGGAATTATGTATTAATTGTTTCAAGATTTTCAAGACCAGAAGTAGTACTGTAGATCACTTAATTTTCATGACACCTTATTTTCGTGTGATAGTCATTGACTCTTAATTACATGTAGCTAGACAAAATTTTCACGAATTGTGGTTATTGCTCTATATAATGTTAAGGATAAATCTATTATACTATTATACTCAAGAATTAAATTTTTGCGAGCACACTGCTTAATAACGCGTTATTTTTTTTTCTTCTGCTTTTAACCTTTCCTCATCTTTGAAGAAAAAAATTTAATTCTTATTTCTACATTAATATTTGATTTTTTTCCTATCAATAAAAAGTGATTTACAGTATACATATACTATAATTTTATTATATTCATATATACTACTTTTTAAATGATATTCTTGACATTTGTTCATAGATTGCTCATTTGCATTCATCACATCCCTTCAGCATTTACTCTACAAGTAGTTTTCACTCGATCTGTTCAAGTTGGTAATGCCCATTCTTTTCCCCCATTTTTTTATTCCGGCCACTACATTTTAACTCTGTTTTTGCTCTCCATTTCTTTTACAAAGTTTTACTATGTGTTCCTCATAGTTTGTTATTCCACAGAATGAGATTGGAGGTTAGGGGATTGAGTAAAACCCTTGTGTGTGTGTGTGTGTGGGTGTGGGTGGGGGGGGGGGGGGGAGTGAATGTAAGCATAGGCAATAGAAGTTACTTAATCTATTCCCAGATTCATTTGCTCTTTTGCAATGATCTGTGTTGCAGTGCCCTTATTCAGTATCACTTTAGACCAAGAATATATCGGGGACTGCATTAACTTCAGATTTTATTTTTAAAGACAGAATGACACTTACTCCAGTTCATCAGCTCTTTGGACTCGCCCATGTTCTGTGTTCACATTAACCGGTGATTTTGGAAGATATCGCATGGTCTGTCGTACAAGGAACAAGAACATATCTGCATTCTGAAAAAACAATTTGCACTTGATATTTTGTGACTTTTAAAAATCCTGAATAGACAGATGTGCTTTACTTGAGTTCATATTATTTAATTTTAACTTTTCCATAATATTAAAATTAGATAATTTTATTTCCTAATCTTAAAAATAAACCTGAAGATTTTAAAATTATGACAATTAATATTATGTTTAATTCATATGTGTAAATTAATGTCTTGAATTAGCTTAAGTTGTGTAATACTTAAAAGATGGAAGTAAACTACATCTTTCATCTGACTTACTTTCCAGAAGAGTTTCTTCAGGGTGAAGTTTTTCTCGGTGGCAGTTTTGAGCTCAGTGAGAAGAGAGAAGGTATCCTCCATTGTATTATCTGGATTCAGAAGATCTCGCTTCAGGGCATTAAAAAGGCCTTCCATCTTTTCTCTGTAATTAAAGAAAATAATTTAAATGAATTCTTCCTGTTGTCTATATACCTACAAGAGGAAAGTTAAATCAAAGAACACTCAATGTTCATGTAGAAATTTGAAAAAAAGTATTGATAAATTGAAGCATAATTAAAATATTTATTCATAACTATCACTGATGAACAAAATAGATATTCAGGGAATATTGATAAAATAAAGGTCAGGGAATTAATAAAAGAATGCATGTGAAGCGGAGACAAACAACAAAATGTATGAATTTTAACTTTGTGTTAAAACTCTCTTCAAGGATATATGTATTTTATACATTATACAAATAGTTAAAGCAATATAAGTAACTATATCTACATGAAAGTGTAACAATGACTTTGGGTCACAAAACTAAGAGTGACTTCATCTGACATCAAGCCTCTTAACCCCCACCCCCCATCCAAAGCTTCAAAGTAGTATATTTTGGACTTATAAGACATCAATATTTGATCTTTTATTCTTGCCCTCGTCGAGATCCTGGATGGAGAATATATACAAGTATCAATTATCATAAATTATAACAAACACCATTTCCAATGTAACTTGCAATTCTCCTTCTCTGAAAAGTAATGGAGTATGTGCTCCAGTATTAAGTACAGTCTTCACCAAATCCTGGGAGTCCAAAGCCCGGGACATGATAATATTGGAAGCGGGCATGTGGAAATTGCACACTTAAAAGCCCGAAGGGCATGTAAATTCTAAGGCCTAAGCCTCCATACTAACAAATTAAATAATATCGATAACATTAAACATGTTAAATGGACTTAAAAGTCTTTGATTTTTCATCATTAAGTGAAACACAAAATAAAAATTTTAGCGACAGTTCATTCTACTGTGATTTCCAAGGAACTTTTGCAAATTAAGGAGCCACAAAAAGTATACAGGTTGAAATTATTATTAATGGCAAGATTAATAGAAATAGATTTCGGATCATTTCCTTGGCATGAACAGGCAAATAAGAATAAAATTACTGGATAATTTTAATTCTGGGCATGTAAATATTTATTTGGGCTTGTGTAATTAGTAGTTACACCTGCCCGAAGGGCATGTACTGAAAAAAAGATTTGGTGAAGACTGAAGTACACAAGAGTGACATCACAAGTGGATTTTAATTGTTCAGGTTTTGTGTCCCAGTGATGATTCTGTGAATATAGGCCAAACTATCTGAAATAGGTTGGGGGGTTGAGGCGCTGATGGAATTTGGCTTTTAAGCAAAATGTTTAAATGTTTAAAAGAGTGACAAAAATTGCAGTACATGTGACAGTTTCTTCCACAACTTTTACATCTTGACCTGGCTGAATGAATTGCCACGCCATTGTAAAGAAGTCTGAATTATCCCTATGTTTGTGTTTATCTTATTCGGCAGATAAAAACAAACATCGATCTGTATGATGCAGACTAGATGAAAACATGAACTATACAACTTGAATTTTTTAGCCTTTATCAAGGCAAGAACAAAAACGGATTGCTGCAAAAATTGAAAGATTAACCGCTATATCGGAAAACACTAAAAAATAATTGATAAGCTGTAAGTATCGGAAGAGAATAATCACTGGTGTCCAAGGACAAAAGGATCTCATGCAGATTCAAACCTTTGTTTCCTTACTAAAATTAGGAAAAGAAACCTAACATAAATTGAAATTGCATGGATGATGAAAAAATGGAAAGCAATAGGTACCTGAGCAACTCAGGTGACTTAAACTGCTAAGCCATGGTAAAAGCAAATTTATATGGTACATAATAATTAATATCTTTATAAAATATTTTCATACGAGTTCATGAGCAATAAAAATAACATTCTCTGTATGAAATAGTATATGCCTGCACTAAATGGTACTAATCAAGCAATCATGGCCTTAATGAATTTATCATATTAAAATGTACATATTTAAGCACATTAAAAATTAAGGCTTTTTAACTAAGGCTCATGAAAAGTGCAGGTTACACACCTCTTCAAAGAACTTCTCCTGTTGTAAACAAGGAAATAAAGAGAAAGTTAAACACAAGCATATTCAAAGAAAATTGGTCTCCGCTTTCGGTGTCTTTGTGGATGGGATGCCATTTTTTGTCAAATATGAAATCCCTATTATAAATATAATATGCAATTTAAAAGTAATCACCAAAATTAAAATTTTTGAAAATTAGGTCAAACATGAAGCAAAGGTCAAGGCATCAAAAATCATAGATGCTAAGAAATATCTTGTCACAGGTAATGCACATGACAAATATGAAAGCCCAGACTCTTCTCAATCAAGGTTTAATAAGAAAAGATATCATTTTTGAAAAGTCGGTCAAAATTCAAGGCCTAGGTCACTGGGGTCAAAAGTCATAGTTTATTTACCAAAGGTAGAAAGGTCTTGTCAAATATCTATGAAAGCCCTCACTTGTAATAAATTGATATAAAATGGTTTGGTGGACATAACCTAGGCAAATACCAGTGTGCTAACAACTACATATAAATATATAGTGCTCATGAGTGGCACTTTTTTTTTTAAAAAAAGGTATATAGAGAGAATCACTTCCCAGACACCGCCTTTATAGAGAATAGAATGAAACCCGAGTACCCAATGAAGTGTTATTAATTAACAAGAGGCCCACGGGCCTTATAGGTCACCTGAGTATCGTGCAACAAATTTCAAACAATTAAAATTGGTTCGTGTTTTAAACCAGAGGCCATGAAATTCACAATTCACAATTTTGAAAGAGGCACCATATCCATTGCTTCTCAAAATTATAAACCTATCATGTTTACTCTATTTACTTAATACCCAGAGGTAGATCAGAGTAACAAAGATTTTGGCCCCACTATACCCCGTGGGTCATGATTTGAACAATTGAAAATGCACTTCCACTTTATAACCAGTTGTGCACCTCACCCCAAAGGAACCACTGACCCTGGGGCCACATGTTTCAAAATTTTGCAAATTTTATCAGAAAATGGTTGATTAATACTAAAGAGCAGATTTCAAAGCATAAATTATTTTCAGACTATGACCCCCCCCCCCCCCCCCCCCCCGACCAGGGGGCATAAAAAATAACCATTTTACTAGATGCACCTTTCTTCATCATAAATATATATACTTGGATCATTGGCATAAACCCAGGAGCAAAGGAAAAGATTTTCAAAGAATTAATGCATTTTCACTATATAATCATTAGAGCCCCACCCTAATACCAGAACCCCTGATCCTGGGGCCATAAAATCCACAATTTTGGAAGAGGCACTCTTTCTTAACATAACTATGAACTTAATTAGTTTATTTAATACCCAGAAGCAGAGAAAACGATTTTCAAAAAAATTAATGCATTTCACTATCTGATCAATAGAGCCCCGCCCTAACAACAGAACCCATGACCCTGGGGCAATAAAATTCACAATTTTGGAAGAGGCACTCTTGCTCAACATAACTATGTGTTTAGTTAGTTCATTTAATACCCAGAAGCAAAGAAGAAGATTTTCAAAGAATAAATGCATTTTCACTATATGATCAAAAGAGCCCCATCCTAACACCATAACCCCTGACCCTGGGGCCATAAAATTCACAATTTTCGTAGAGGCACTATTGCTCAACATAACTATTTACTTAGTTAGTTTACTATAACCAAGATCAGAGAAGAAGATTTTCAAAGAATAAATGCATTTTCACTAAATGATCAATAGAGCCCTGCCCTAACACTAGAACCCCTGACCCTGGGGCCATAGAATTCACAATTTTGGTAGAGGTACTCTTGCTCAACATAACTATGTACTTAGTTAGTTTACTTAATACCCTACAGCAAAGAAGAAGATTTTCAAAGAAATAATGCATTTTCACTATATAATCTATATAGCCCCGCCCTAGCACAAAAACCCCTGCCCCAGGGGCCATGAATTTCACAATTTTGGTAGAGGACTCAATGCTCATTACATTCATGCCAACAATTTGACTGCTTGATGTCCAGGAGTAAAGAAGATTTTTAAAGATTGCAATAATTTTGGTGGTTTTGGCCCCACCCCTCAGGCCCCATGGGGGCGGGGACCATAAAATTCACAATTTTTGTTCCCCTTCACCCATAAATGCTGTATACCAAATTTGGTTGAAATTGGTTCAGTGGTTTCAGAAAAGAAGCTGAAAATGTTCAAATGTTAACACACGACGGACGACGAACGATGACGACGGACAAAAACAGATAGCAATAGGTCACCTAAGTTACTCAGGTGACCTTAAAACACCTGAGGTCCAGTCTCTATACTGACAAAAGGAATTTAATGTTTTTTAATCGCCTCAAACGTGGAGAAAAAGTGTAAAACCTAATGTACCTCCAATAAAGATCTGGAAGAAGTTTTTTTCATTGTGCAGTATGTGAAATCACAGATTTTATGTAGCAAACTTCACAGTATACAGTCAGATGGAACATTAAGGATGACAGTTAAATAGTGCTTCAATAGCCACCAATGTAAAAATGACAAAAGTCTGTGAAATTTAAGGAACGTACAGCCACAATGTTCTGACACAGAATAGGTACGACAATAAAACCTACCTGTACTTAGGGATTCTGACCGCACAGAAAAATAAAATAATCAGGATAATTAAAATCTGGCATCTTAAATATACAGATGTATGATTAATTTACCATGTTTTCTGGGTACAGCTTTGCATCATTTTTTTTTTTTACAGAATTTTTACAGAATTAAATTTGCTTTCTTGCAAACGAAAGCATAGCTTGGCTGACTATTCTGTTTAAAAAGGGAATTAAATTTCCAATGTAATGCTGATTTAGCTGTGATTTTTTAATCTGTTGCATTTGATCAATATCATATTGGTTAATATGTAGAGTGACTATAAATATCATATGTTGTAAACTAAAGCACAATGTGTTCATTAATATTTCAGGATTTTTCCTTTCCAAATTTTTAAATTCAACTTAAATAACGAAATCTTTACCAATGACTTCTTAAAGTTGTAAATTAATTTGAATAAAATTTATTATTTTTAAAAATAAATCTGACTGTTCTATACATAAAAGACATGTAATGCAAACAGCTGATGATGCACTTTAAAGAAATATAAATCTTATCAGCTGATTTTTAGAACTGCATTTTGATACATGACAAGAAGTCATACACATCCTTGGCCATATCACACCACCCACCACTCGTCCAATCAATGCTCCGTCATTCCATGTTTATTCCTGCTTACATGTTAAAGTTCAACATTTAAATTTCTTATATTTCATTGACAGCTCAAGATCTTTTAAACATTTGTATTGCTGTTAGTCCCTTTAAACCATTCCTATTATTAAACTTGCCTACTGTGCAATGTACACAATTTCTCTTGAGAATTTCAAAATAATAAACATAGTATATGCACGCATATTGAAATCTATACTGACTTAGCTTATATGTTTATCTAATGATTAAACTTCAGTATTATGTAAGATTATTACGTAAAGACCATTAAATTTATAAGGATCAATTACAGACTAATAAAAATGTCAAACCTATGCTTGCATTTTATATTTTAAGCACTCATTAATTTTATTTCTAAATGCACTTTGTACTCTTTCACTCTCTCTCTCCAGCTCTCTCTTTCTCTCTCTCCTGATGATGTCATACCTTTGGACAGGACCACTTCTTATCGCACCGGATTTGAAGCTCTTTTCATAATCTAAGTCAATGTTGAGGGTGTGTTTCTACAAGAACAGAAAAAAAAAATCAATCAATCAATTTTACAAATGTAAAATTTACCATGTGTACAAATATTCTAGTTATAATATTTAACAATATTTGATAGCACTCATGCAATGATGAATAAATAATCATGAAATGAACATTGATTTGAGATAAGAAACTCAAATGAGGCAGTAAAGGTGAAAAATTACATGAGATGCATTTCATATGCAGTAAGACTGCATTATAAACACTTAATTATTTCTTTGACCATTGCAAATCTTATGTACAATTAATTTTGGCTGTAATAAATGTGTTACATGTAATTGTGTCTATAATTTTTCAGGAAATTAAAAGAAAAAATTAAATTAAATTAAAAAACCCAACAAACAAACAGTTGATCCTCTTTAATTTCCATTTAAATGTCTATATAATCTTAAGTTGAGATATATACAAGTACATGTACCTTCCTTTTATTATTATATTTTTTTTTTCATAATTATTTTGTGTCTTTCATAATTTTGTTTTCATTAAAAGACTGGCAAATGATTTTTTTTTAAAATGTCAATTAAAAATTACTGATTTTAATACTTGTGTTACTGTGTGTAAAGATTTTGGCTTAATACACTTATAAAGGAATGTACTGACTCAGTAAAAAAAATCTCTTTTGCATGAAATAAACATTATCTACCCGACACTACGCAGCTATAAATTTTATTTATTTAATGTACTCTCAAAAGTCCAAATTTCTTTCCCTAAACTAGCACATACGTCACATCAACAATTCAACAACAACATCCACTTTAGATAAGCAGTCTTTTACATCATAACAAGAGGGGGTACACTGTATATTGGATTAAGAGTGACGTAGAATTAAAATGATAATTGTTCTGAGCAATAAATTGTGTTCCACACTCCTAAATATCAAACAGGATTTACTCTATCTTGATAATAAGCATTTCAATAGAGAATTTCAAAGAGAATTGTAAAATTTAAATTTCATTCTTCTTTCCTTTAAACTCCAAATTGAACAGTCAAACAAGCCACAATTTAAACTGCTTTGAACCAACTATTATTCACTCCAAAGATAATTTCTTTACTGTGACACCATAAAATGTAATTCAGTAAAGTATCAACTTCAATATAGGTATATAAAGCAGGTCATATGGCCAACTTTTTCAAGTTGTCTCGACTTTTTTATTTGTACATGCAACTGGCTATCTGATAAACACACTTTATAAAGCTATCTTATATCTTTAATTCTTTATGACAGGTTTTCATTCACCTTGGAACTATTTCACAGAGATTTCAATATTTACAAGACAACATGATCTTCCAAGTCTCTAAGCCATTACACTAAACCATTTTCATGCTGGGAATTTCAAAAACATAAACATAAATCCTTTTTCGTGATAAATTTCCATTAGTCTTTATATAGAATTATATGACCTTCTTTACTATTTTGATCCTACATTTAGCTTAAGACAATGACATATTCTTTTCTTCCTAACCACCATCCCTCATATTACTTTCTCTGTTCCAAATCAATCAAACCACTTAATTCAACATCAGTACAAAAAAAGTCATTATTTTAATGTCTCTCCATAAAGGGCATCCCTTTGTTCACAATGACACAGTGAAATAATGCAGAGTTTATAGATAAAATGCCAACACATGGATTATTCAATATATGGATCAAATGCAGCTAGTGAAGGTAAAAAAAAAAATCCAGGATAATTAGAGAAATCAATACAAGGGCAAAAATAAATAGTGCTCCTATAAATGTCAGCTGACTGGTTGTGATAGAAACCAGTAAACATCTCCATAGCAACAGAGACACAATCTTCATTTGATCTTATTAACACAGAACTGAACATATGTGTTGTAAAAGGACAGTTAATTATATTGCTACCTGGTTGAGCTACGTGATTTAATATACGCTGACATTTCCAATACATGTATATGTATTATATATTTTGAAGCTGAGAAGGACTAAATGTAACATTGTATAGTTGATATTTATAAATGACTGATCTGTAAATTTATAATTTAGATTTTCAATGGTTCTTACAAAAATCATCATCTGACACTAAAGTAGCGGGAATTCATGATGAAACCTAAAGTACTAACAGTAAGAAAATTACTCCTGAATTTAAGAGCTCGGAATTATATTCATTCTTTAAGTACTCACACTGACCGAGTTTCTAAAGTACTGTACTTAGAATGATGATAAGGTAATTTTCCTAACATACTTCTAATTTTATGTTTTAAGTTTCTTCTATTTCATTGGCATTTCACAGTTGAAGTAAATCTGCTAATTCGATCATCCCCCCCCCCCCCCACCCACCCCAAAAAAAAAATGGCATCATTATGAGTAGGTCAGAAATAATACCCATATCTTAGGCCATCCTTAAAAAATTGTTTGTTTGGAAATTGCCTGAAGGGTTTCAGACACAGGAGGGAGGGAAGGAAATTATTTTTTTTCAAATTGAATATAAATTTTAAATTTTTTATAAAAAATCTCAGTAAACAGTAAATACATTTTCTGATTTTTTAAAAAAGTATATACCATCAACAAAAAAAAAATAATTTTACGTAGATCTGACACATATATTTCAGTGTTTTGTATGTTGCATGTAATGGGAAAAAAATTGATTAAATAAAAAAAAATCTTCCTATTTCTGGTCAAAAAAATTTTTTCAGGAGGGGGCATTTCAATGAGGCGGGAGGCAATTCCAAACAAATTTAATAATTTTATTTTGGACTTACCAATATTCTTAGGAGAGAAATCTTATGTAGGTTACTTACAATGAGGTAATTGTTCCAAGCACTGCGGATCAGCATCAGCATGGGGGATTGGAGATTTAAGAGGTAAATACTGACGGAAGTCTTTTTTCGTTCCTCCGGAGCCAGAAGTGTGTTGACTCGGATGATTGAGCTTCCGAAATCTGACACCGAAGCCATGCCAAGGTTACTAAAAAAGTAGATAGACTTTGGTAAAAATAAATATGAAAACTATGAAAGACATTATATTTTATATGTAAATTATGAACAGGAATGCTACAGAGAACCGTAGTACTGTACACATGCAGTCATATAATTCTCTGTTTTGTTACAATTAACTCAATGTTACGATTACTATAGTATTCACCCAATCTGGACTGAAGTAGTACTGGAATTTTCAAATTAAATCATGACTTTCTGATCAATATTACTTAATAATTTCAAAATACTGTACATGCTTACACATTGTACATAGATTTTTATAATGCATATTCATATCATAAACTACTTTTATTATATAGACTCAATAAAAATTAGGTAAACCTGAAAATATAATAGTTTTAAACATGTTGGCATAAAAGTCCATATCAGTGATTTTAAAATTGAAACAAAACAATTTATGAAGTTTTCAGTATGTGCCAACACATGCATCATCTCTCACTATATCAGTGCTTTCAATGGAGTGACTGAGGAAAATCCATGTCAAGTGAATAAGATGATCAAGTGACCCTAAATCCATGTCACACATCTTGACTATTCGAAAGTTAATCAAGTTTAAGGCACATATCACACAAGCATCATTTTATGCTCCCTTAGGAATGAAAATGGACAAAATCCTGGTGGTCAGGCACCAATTTATTGTATTGTAAATCAATTGAGCCAGGGAACCTGCAAGGCTAACCTGAACACATGTTTGAAAAATGGGGAAAAGTTCAGCATATATCAATATCACTTTTCTTGCAAATGGAACCATCAACTTCAAACAGGCATTTCTACCTCTGATTATCATGATTATGTTATACTGTAAAAGCACAAATATTAAATTATTTCGTTTATTTCGTTGTTAACAATATTCAACGAAATTAAATCCCACACGAAATTTTATATGACTATATATTGAATAGGGTTACTTTCAAAACAACGACATTAAATGCCCACGAAACTATTTTTGATGAGAAAACAACAAAATTTTATGCCCACGAAAATTTGTGTTTCTAGTATTAAAATGGAATTCCTTTTCTGGTACGTGTAATAAGGAATTTTCAAACATGTAGTCTCCAAATAAAATAGAATTGTTTTTTCTAGAAGTTTTATATGCTAATATTGTATCATACTGTGTACGATAATACGATTTTTCTTATTTACTTTAATTAAGAAAAAACATTTCACAGAAATCCTTCTAGCATATTTGAAGTCAAAGATTTATACATTCTAGTAGCATATAAGTGTTCGTAGTACTCCTATAAAATCTGATTAACTAACTAAAAGCAAATATATTATAGCCTGGAGATGCTACACATTGCCAATAATGTTGGTAAGCCATATCATATATTACAGTTGTATTATATCATGCATGTAAATTAATACTACGATGATAAGTACTGACATATTGTAAAAAAATAAAGACGACCTCCTAAGATATAAAGGCACCGACGTCTGATAATATTTTTGTGACAACATAAGGAAAGTGTCACAGATGTGGTCAACTAATCTGGCCATAGACAAGGGTGATTTTTTTTTTCAGGATGATTGATGGGATACTCCACAGCCTTTTAAACTAAGCAAGCATCTTGTATTATTTATGCTCTTTCTGGAGAGATTCACTCATCTCATTCCATGAAATCAAATCTGCTGCTAAATCATGAAGACAATTGCAAAGTTTGAATAGTATACCTGTATATATTTATGTTGAAACAGTGTCTTAACTTCGATCAGCAAAAGGTACATAAAGAAATTTCACTCATTAACAGTGCTTCATTAGATTTTAAAGTCAGTAACATAAAATTTATGAACCATTGAACAGACAGCTACTACGTACAAAGGTAATAAAATCTTGTTAAGACAGACACCTAGGAAGTGTTAAAACAGCAACAGCAAAATGATGAAAAAACTTGCAGAGAGATTAAAATCAACAAATCAAGTCTTGAGGGAAAAATATGGGAGGAAAGAAAAACCAGTGATTAATTAGCACAATAAATCAACAGGAATGTCAGTACGAAAGGTGGTAGAAGAGTGCTCAAACACCTGCCCAGTTACCATAGTAACCATGCAACTAGCCTACGTCTTACCTGGCACTACGCGTGCCATCAAAGTCCTGAGCGGGGGTGCCAGCCCTGGATATCCCTCGAATCGTCGTCACTGACGAACGACGGGAGTTAACTAATGGTTCCTGTACTAATGCATGTAATGATTGCATAGACCCCTTGTGTCCCTGGCTAGCAATATCAGAGGTGACATCAATATTTATCTCAGGTTTCTGAGGGGTATTAGCAGTAAAGAACACTTCATCATTTGAAGGCTTTCCATTGGTCACAACAGGTTTCTTAGTGCTATCTTTGACCATATCATCACGGCCACAAGATACGCGGGAAGATCGGAAACAATTAAGGCTAAAACAGTTACAGAGCGTGGGTTTTTCTGCTTCAACTTGATCATGAGAAGAATTATTCTGATTACTAACAACATTTAATTTATTTTCCATGGAAATAGAAGGGGCCCTTGGTTGGGGCCGTACTGACCCCGACTGACTGAGGGTGGTGTCTATAGATTCCCGGTGATCCAATGACCTTCTTTGTCCTGATCCCTCCTTGCTTTTGCTTCCTCGAGTCGAATGAAGAATGGATGTGTATGAGGCAGCGAAAACACCATCTAAGTCATCCATGTCTTCCAGTTGTCCATCTTCCATTTCTTCTTTGAGTGCCTTAAGTACACTGTCTTCCATCCCTTCACCTATTCTTTTCTTCTTTTTTAGACTACTAGTCTTAATGTCTCTACCACTGGATTTAAGTCCCTGCGACGAGCTCACAGACCCTCGGCTCTCTGGCCGACTACTGTTTATCTGTAAACTCGACGTACTTTGTGTTATGTAACCATAATCTTCAGACCAGTTACTTCCCTCTTGAATTGAAATATTTTCCAGCGGTGTTGATGCATTTGATCTATCACCATGGAGATCTGATAATGAGCCTGTCCGTGGAGATTTTTTAGATTTTCTGAGCGATCGTTTCTTTATTTGATCTGATGTCCAATGAAACACTTGTATGTGTTGAGTATTAGTCCTTTCTTCACCACTTAAGAAATCTGGAAAATCATTGACCTGAAAAAGAAATGTAATATCATCATTAAAGGATCATTTACGGGCATTATTTTTTTTTCAACAGTCAGTTCCTCTTGTTCTAAGAATGCATTACTGGTAATTCATTGAGAAGTTTTAATGACAGGACATATGAACAAAACTGTTATGATCTACATGGAAAACACTACATTAGACATGAAAAATAAAACAATTAATGCTACATTTTTTATTCATCTCTACTAAAAGTTAAAGTAATGTTTTGCTCCCTTGTCGATTCCTTCCGCAATATATCTACTTACATATATACAGTACAGTGAGGTTGCCGTTATCGAATCACTTAGTAATGTAACAAGTCGAGCGGACCCTTGTCACAAAATAAAAACTCCATTGTCAGGCATAACAAGTTTTTATTGAGGATGGCAACAATCAAACAACAACAACAAATGAGATGCTGACCATTCAGACAATCAATTGACCCCAAAAATGGGGGGGGGGGGTGAACTTGTCTTGACTATTAAATGCAGTTTATTTATACTAACTAGTATCTGCAAACAACTTCGCTCTCGAACTCAAAGTAAAATAACTTTGCGGAAATACTTGCGTTAAAATAAATAATTATGAATTCATTTTAACATGCGTCAATCCGGACAGTCCCTAAATATATCTATATTCTAAATCTGTACTAAATATCTCCAGCAATCAACTTTATTACTGCCTAACTTACAAAGACACTATGCGTAAATTATCCCGAACATATGAATATTCCTAAAATGACTTTATTTTCAGCTTAAGCAAATCCGAACAAATACTGCCAAATCCGGACAACCCATTCTGGACAAGAATAACCTATGTGAACTTAACTGTATGAACTATTCTGGACATCCGAACAAACGATCCGGACAACTATCAAAATATAATTCTGTCATAAACTATAACCAATTAACTTCTGAACTTGGAAACAACTAATAGAAATGTTCCGGTCATAAGTCCTAATTAATAACTCGAACTGTAAACAAACAAATTACTGGTCTACATGACTGGAATAATTCCTCTACTTATAATACTGTCCTGTCCGGACGCGCGAGCGAGTCTTTATAAAAATTAGCATCATCCACTACAAGATCTATCATCTTGAATACCTTAAGCTTTCTCTGAGGATTTGGTTCAAGAACTAGCAACCACAAGGGATGTAGAGTCAAGATTGAGTGTCGAGATGCTGAAATTGGGTCCTATATATAACCTTCTATCACCAATCAGCGTTTGTCCTTTTTGTCCGGAAAATAATTGACCAATCCAAACGCTGTACGGATCTATGGAAAATCCGAACAATATACAATCTCCGGACAAGCAGAATTAAAACCCTTAATAAACATTTAATGAACAATACAAGACCTTGTCCGGATTACTTTAATTACATGGACACTAAAATACGTAATTAGTTTAATAAATAAAATTATCCAAGACTACGTAGTTTTGTTATAAAAATCAAGTTTCGAATCTAGGCGCCTTCAGAAGTAGTGCGCGTAGCGATATACGCAAATACGGAAGTGCGACTTCACAACATAGTACCTAGGATAGATCGATAAAATAAGACAATAGTTCACCATAATAAGGTAAATAAGGGACAAAAATATTGGTCAGCATCATATTACAATAATTCAAGATAAAAATAATGTACAACATGGTTGAATAATGAGAAATCAGGCAGCAGAATCACAGGTGACAAGATGAGTAGTGAAGCGGTCAATCAGACGAAGGAAACGCATGTTAAAGTACACAAGAAGTTCGCGAGCGGTAAAATGACGATTTCACATAGATGTAAGTAAAAGAATACGCTGGTACTGAACACAGATCAATAACCGGTAATTATTAACAACTGTAATCTGTTAAAATGTATTATTTTACCGTATTTACGCAGAAACTTAGAGAATAAAATTTGTAAACAAACTATTGAAAATGGGGGATGTTGTCAAAACACGATCGGTAATACTGCAAGTTTTGTAAACAAAATCTGAATAAAAATAAGACATAATAAATGCTGCTTAAGCTTAATTAATAACTTTAAAGTCATGTACTATGATTATAGTGTATCTCCATTCAGAATAAATTAATTGTAAACAATACAAGAGTAAGCACATGAACAGCTGATGAAGGTCTCACATATTACACCACCCCCCACTTAAAAAATACAAAATTCTCCTGAATTTTAGAACACATAAACAAAAATTTAAGACAGTCTGATAGGTACATTCCTTTCCTTAATTTGGTCAATAATAGAATTGTATTTCTTCAATCTTTTCAGGGCGGCTGCCTCCATCATAGAAAGAAAGTCACGGTCAACATCAGATCTAGCCCCCTTGATCGCAATATCACAAAGTTTTTTGTAATTATAAAATTTTAGCTTACGGTCTACTTCGTCTTGTGGTATCATGGCTGGTTTGGCGGATCCGGGGAGACATAAGACATTGTACTTAGAAAGAAGTTGAGCTCGTGAGATAGAGAGGGTGTCTGCTGAGAGGACGCCATTTGTCTCAAGAGCCAGGGCAGCGAACTCCCAAGCCTGCAGCTTTTGGTCAGGTGTTAAGGTTTCCCATTTGGTCGGTGGCCAAGAAATGGTGGACCCTTCCCGCGCGATGTCAAAAGGAGGCACCCCTTGCCAATTTCTTCTGGCCGCTGGTAAAAGTGGCATCACACCATACTCCAGAAGGACACGAGCTCTCTCTGTAGACACAAGATCAAATACAACAGGGTGATCAGAGGTCTCTTCTCCGGAGATGGATGAAGGCTGTGACATGATGGATGAAGGTTGGGAGGTAGCAGAGGAGACTGGGTGTTCCACGGCTCCACTGGAGACTGACTTAGGGCCCTCGTCCTCCAGGATTGAAGAAGCTAATGGCTGGAGAGAAGTACACAAGGCGGCAGGGTCAGCAAACTCCCAGAGAACTGAATTTTTGAAGTCTGGCAGATCAATACTGGGGGGTGCTGTGGACTCAAGAGGCTTCTCTACAGGTTCCATGGTCTGAGAAGGAACAGATGGGACAGGCGTCTCAGGAGCAGGGGGGGTAGAGTCAACCAGAGGCTTCGTTGCATCAGGAGGAGAGTCCGCATCCTGCTCAATGGTACCTATCGGAATGGCGATTAGAGGACCACCATCACCAGATGCAGATACTGGGGCAGAAGCAGCTTCAGTTGTTGAAATTTCCATCTGAGGTTCTGGTAGAAAACAAGCAGATGGTTTGGATGGAACATAAGGAGGTGGAGAGGCTCCTTTCCTGATGGATTCTATTAACTTTTCGTCAACCCCCAACAGCTTGGACATTTCCTTTAGGAGGATGGGTGAGGAGATAGGCGAAAAAAAGGTAGGAATCTGGAAGAATGGATCAGGATGTATGCTCTGTGACTTCCGCATCACAGACGACAGAATCTGAGGGTTCCGGCTGGCCTCTGAAGTCATTTTGATGTTAAAAACTTTGTCTTCTGAAGCAACATGAACCCGGATCAATCCTCCCTCCAAGCTGATGGCCTTGATCGTATATCGGTCATCTAACTCGGGTTTGGTTGGTGAATATCCCCTTGGCTTCTTCATTACTGGACTGTGGTCTTCTGCTGTCTCTTCTATGTAGTCTGGTCTGAAGTGTTCCTCTGGAGTTAATGAAGAACCTCTTCCCTCCTCCCAACCTTGCTCAAATTCTCTGAGTTTCCTACTGCTGAGACTGTTGCTTCTCACCCATGACACTATCTCTAATCGTGCTCTAATTGCCGCCTCGCTCTTCCAGGGATTTGGTTGAACGATTTTTCTGTAGTCTGATGGATGGACAGAGAACCAGAATCCATTAGCTTCGGAATAGAAATCACTGGGAACATCCTTTAACCGTCCCAACCCCTTGTGGGCCTCCAGCACGTGGACTTTGAGATCCGCCATTCTACGCAGTGTTTTTTCTCGTTTACCATCTCTAACTGGGCAAAACGGACAGATGACACGCATCCTCTCATGGGGACGGGAAATTAGGTGGTTCTTTCTGTCTCGATTCGACTTGAATTTGTCTGGGCACAACCAACAAGCATACACTGCAGAGGACATGCTGAAAACGGGTAAAAAAAAAATCTGTCAGGCTCAGTATAATATTCTGAGCCGAGAGCAATGCCGTCTGCAGATACATTTTTTATTTTTAGTAAAACATTCTAAAATCCACCCCCCTACCCTACTATCACTAAAATATTTTGTCGGGATGGCCAGCAGGACAAGGAAAAGTAAAACATTTTACAACACAACACACCTAAGGCAGATAGCAGATATCACCACAGAGGAGATGCAACACCAAGTGATCCCGAAGATCAAATAACAAAATAATATTTAAAACAAAATACAGACCCAACATCCTCTTCAAGGATTCTTCATGGTCACCAAAAACCGCAGGAGCACACCCTGGGTGATCAGGCCAGTTGTGCATCCTCAACCAAGGGCGCGACCCTTCACACAGTGTCACCTAGACACTAAGCATCCTCCCCACTTCACCATAATCAAAACACAACAAATTATAAAAAGAAAAATCTGCTCCCAAATCTACCCCTGTAATATCTCAACAGGAATTACACAATGCCCCGGTAGCGGAGGAACACTATTCTTCCCACAGGTACAATGGATACTAAACATTCCTTCCAGAAACATTACTCAATTACTGCGCTGAAGAGACCTGAATTTCTCTCTGCAACCTCCTTATCCATGCTGGCACATCCCTCCCCTTATAAACTGATAAGCGATCTATGTGATATAATTTTGCTTCTTTTCTAGCACTCCGTTTGACTCGATACGTGGTATCATCAACTTTCTCAAGGACAATGCAGGGACCACTCCAGGGACAAGATAACTTCTTGCAAATCCCCTTTTTCTGTAAAGGTTCGTAGAGCCACACCAGCTGACCAATGTCAAGGGACTTTTTACTGGCTTTAATGTCGTAATAACGTTTCTGATGTTCTGCACTTGTTTTCAGGTTCTGTCTAGCAAGTTCATGAATAGAGTG